GATTGACTTTATTCATGTGGGGGGCATGTGTGTATTTTTAATAAAACCAGGGGCTGATTCTGAAACCGGCCCTTATGTGAATTCAACCATCATCCTGAGAGTGTCGTTTGATCATTCTAGGGTAACGGAGCTCCATCATTCCCACATTTCAACAGAAGCTAAAAGTAGTTGGATGGGCAGGAATCGTTGTGTAGTTTAGCTACAGTCGTGGTAAGCGAGATTCACACAGCTTTATGGGGGATTTCTGCGCATCCAACTGCGAGTACTCACGGTAAGGAGAAATTCGTTAAAGCGAATTTCCAAGACAGAGTCCATTTTACAGCTCAAATTTATTTTGGTCATAAGAGTACGGTGGTGTCAGCAAAGGTTGGGCTTTCAGTAAAAGATTCAGATTGTCAGGGAACCCAAAAATGACTAAGCATTCCTTAAGGGGGTAGTGCTACACGTGAATGCATATGTTTCAGAAGCCTTTGGCAAATGATTATGAAGGCACTAAGCATGTTGCAGCATTAGAACCTAGCTCATTGGTAGAATCATCTTTGGAGCAAACATCAGAGCACCAGAATGATCTCTGTGGTGTTTTATATGATGTCCCGTCATTGCAGTTTTGCCTTTGTATGGTGATAGAAAAATGTTCTTTTAAGTTAGATAAACTTATTTCCTTTATATAGTAAAACGGGTGTCATACCACCAGTTGGTGGAAGGAGGAAGGAGGTCACCAGCAGATTTTTCCTGTTTGTGCCTATCATTATATATCATTAATACGTCAATGTTCTATAGGGTGAAATGAGGTCAATGCACACAGCTGCATTAAAATATCCTGGCCTTGTACAGGAACTTTGTGGGTATATGACAAAGAGATATTAATTGCAATGGTGAATGTTACAAATTCAGCACATTTTAAAAATGAACTGCTTCTAGTATGGAAAAGAGCCAAACACAATTTCTATAATAAAAGAAGGTACCCTTCAGTAATTTTAACAATCAGATGCCTGGCTGTTCCTAGGGATTAAACTTAGAAAAGGTACATGTTCACAGCTGATAAAAGTTCATCATAGCAAATACAGGAGTATTAAATTTGTAAATTGAATTTTATAAATGAGTTAGTACTGTAATGCAGGAAAGAATCTATTTTATTTTAGCTGAAAGCTGAACTCTGGCCAAAAACATTTTTTGTAATTTGCAATGTAGTCTTAAATGAATGCTAACAAAGTGTGTGCAATGTGCTGCTGTGTTCAGGGCTGTGGATAAGGGGGTACCACCTGTCCTCCTCTATGGGGCCCAGGCCAGCAGGGGGGCCCAGGCAGCTGGGTGAATCAAATGTGGGCAGAGAGAGTGATCGGTGCGGTGGGGAGGAGGCAATTACTGGAACTGATGAATGGCTCTCTTTGCAGCAGCTGAAAGCTTCTGCTCCCCCTGGCTTTCAGCTGCTGCAGAGAGAGCTATACAGGGGATCAGTTCCAGTAATTGCCCCCCCCCCCCGGCTGTACTCATCACCCTCCCTGTGCATTATATATTTCCTCCTGCTGCCCTGGCTCCCCAGTGTGCCCCCACCCCTGCAGTGTTGCCAGCTTCCCTCCTCTCCTTCCCACCGGCAACTGCAAGCACACAATAGGATCCTTCAGGATGGAGAGCAGGGGAAGGATCCAATATATATGTCACATCTACCAGACCCTTCCTTTCCTGAATGAACACAATGAGTGATCGGTACCGATCGCTCACTGTGCTTATTCATAAACCAAAGCCTAGTAAACTGTGTTTCTTTTTGGGAAGGGCCCTGTCAGGTTGGCTGTATGGGGCCCTGTGGTTTCTAACAGCAGCCCTTATGTAATACTTATGCAAGCCCTTATACAACAGCAGCAGTTATGTAATACTCTTACTTTCATTCACCCTGTACAGTCCAGTCAGTGTCAAATGCTCATCTGCATTCCAGATGGGTGTATCTTCTGCCTTTCATGCAGCTACATGCTGCAGCTGCAAAATGCATGCTGTGATTGGCTAAAAGGTTCTCAGACACTTTCACAGCCTTATTCCAGCTGCAGCACGGGGGTGGGATGGGGGGCAGCTAAACTGACTATGGGAGATACAGGCACTGTTTGCAAGTTTGACATGGCCAGATTGCAAAAAAATTAAAAGGGATTGGAAGGAACACCAGAAGACACAAAACTAAAAAACAAAACAGCACATACTACATTCACAAATAAGTAAAAGGGAGAAAAGACACATAACTTACACTTGGGAAAAGGGGAAGAAGGAATGAATTTGGGCTAATTAGAGCAGGGTGGGTTTGATTTAAATCAAAGTGATTTAAATCACGATTCATTTTTAACCTCCTTAGCGGTTTTCCCGAGTGTAGCTTGGGGTAAAATTTCAATACCAAGAGTGGTAACCCCGAGCTACACTCCGGCTTACCATGCGGCGCTGCTCTGGGGGTCCCTGCAGCGCTTACCTTGTCCTTCGCTCCTGCGATGTGTCCCCTGCAGCGTCCCCGCTATCACCTCCGGCTGATGCCGGCATCCGGTTCCGTGTTCCGGTCCCTGTGACGTCGGGACGTACGGGCGCTGGAACCGGCGGGAAATTTGACATTTTTTAAAAAATGTCATTTTTGCTGTCATTGCTGTTTCAATGCATTTCACATATATTTTGTCCCTAGTGCTTTGTCCTGTGCCCTGCCTGCATTTTGACTGTTCTTTCTGTCTGGAAACTTAGAAAAGTCCATGGCGTCCAAAAAGCGTCCCTTTACGTCAAAAGCGGTTTTAGAACAGCAATAGTAAATCAGAACCACTTGCAGAATTGAGTGATAATGATTCGTGGGGAAATTCGTCATCGGACACTGAAACCGATTTTGCGACTTTGCTCAGAGATGTGCGAATTTGCCTCTGTATTTCAAATTTCAGTGTTTTTGGTTTGATTATATTATTGAATTAAATGTATTATTATTATATTATTATTTTTTATGATTATTTATTAAATTATAATTTATGATTTTGGGTTTCAAGTTTTATCATATCCAGAATGTTTACTAGACTCTTGTTCGTACAGATTTCAGTGAGTTATTCCTAAAAATTACAGCCTACAATAAAAAACTACATATTTCCATGCAAAAAAATGGAACCGCTTTCAGCACAAAAAAACGGAAAGAATCATACCGCCGAGGAGGTTAAAAAGCAACTGTCATCTCTGTCCCACAGCGGCTCCTCCTCTGACCCGCTGTTGACTCTCTGACAGTCCCATTCACTTTAAAGGGAAGAATGGTGATGTGTCAGTGACACAACAAGGTGAGGGATGTGGCAGCAGCAGGTGAGTGGATGCCCACTAACAGGCGCTGCCATGATGGATCTAAAATGACAGGTGCTCTTTAAATGTAATGAATCCGACTCATTCTTGCTGGTAGTTAGAATCTTTAATATTTCCAAACCAAGTGAAGGTTTCCATTTTAGAATAATAAGCTGTATGGTTAGTAAAACAAACTATATCAGAACCGATTTAAGGTTAATAGGCTAATCTCACATAGTTGGAGAACTACTAAAATTCTTTTATTTCATGTTTTTTCTAATGGTTACTGTGAAATTGTGTGAATGCATCAATGCAGTGCATGTTATCTCAGCTTGCAGAGCTTGGATTCATTGAATGAATTACCAAAAAATGTAAATATTGCAGAATGTACAGCCTCATGCTACATAACTAAGCTCCATTTCATGCTGAATGTGACAGACCTGGGAGGATTGAATCCAGTGTTGTTTGACCACTCTTTACTTGGGGTCATTTTTCTTTGGTAAGCCTTTGTCTGCCTCACAAGGGTGGTGTGTTGTGTTCACTATCTTGGACTGGAAAGCTTTCTGTGATCCATACCTGCTACTTTTTGGAAGATCACTCTTCCTTTCATTTGGTCGTCACTGGGACTCATGTTGCTACTATTAATGTGATGGTCACTATTTGATTATTTCTATGAGCATTTCTTACTTTTTGTGGATTTATTTTACAACAGTTTATTTTTGAATATTTATATAATATTTTTGCACATTCGTTTACAGTATCTATCTGCACTGTGTTACATTGATATTTAATTTGGTAATGAGTATACCCTGAGATTTTACTAGGTGGCTTATTTCACTTTCAATACGTTTTCACTTAACAGTTGGAAACTCCTTAGAATGTTAATGCATCTTGGTGTTTTATCTTTTATATGCAAATACTGTAATAGTATTTTTTTTCTTACTTTATTAACATTTGCATTGTTTGAATACATTTGTAATTTTTCCACAGGCTATTGTTGCATACGTTTAATTGGTATGTGATGTATGTGCAGTATGTATGTTGATGTATATGTACATGAGGGCAAATATTAGCATGTATTTATAGCTGTTGTCAAAGACCTACCATGTAAAATATTGTTGTATTGAATACAATGATATTAACCACTTCAAGTCCAGACACTTTTACCCCCTTCCTGTCCAGGCCAATTTTCAGCTTTCAGCGCTATCACACTTTGAATGACAATTGCGCGGTCATGCAACACTGTACCCATATGAATATTTTAGCATTTTTTGAGACAGAGAAAGCTTTATTTTGGTGGCATTTATTCACCACTAGGATTTTTATTTTTTTGCTATATAAATGAAAAAGTCCACAAATTTTGAAATAAAGTGTTTTTCTTATAAAATTTTGCAAATAAATAATATTTCATCATAAGTCTTGGCCAAAATTTATTCAGTTATCTTTTTAGTAAAAGAAAATAACTCAAATTAGTTTATAAACCAAAAATTATAATTTTTTAAACTTTTTTTTACATTTTTATTTTACTTTTTTATATTTTTATTTATGCATGTTTTTTTTTTTTTTTTCTTACATACTATCACCCTAGCAGTAGTGTCACCATGGTGGGGGGGGTGATGAAGATTTTTTTTTTTTTTTTACACTGATTGCTTTTATACCCATAAAGGCTGTAAAAGCAATCAATTTTCCTTCTCTCTGGCTGCATTCTTGCAGCCATTGAGGAATACTGTGTGAGCTGTGATTGGTCACAGCTTGTCACATGGTACAAGGCAGTTGTGAATAGCCTTGTACCATGTGACCTCTGTGATCATTCACAGATTTCTCACGTAGTAAGCAATGATGTCAGAAGTGACATCTTGCTTACTACTCTGCATGTGATCACTGATCGGGACCTCGCACAGAGGTCCGGTACGACGATTGGAGGACACAGCGGACACCGGATCGCGGTGCTGCATGCTCCCAGGGAGTGCGCACAAGCAGGGGGTGGGGATGCCATTTATAAATGGCCACCCGCCCTGCACTGCCACTGTCCAGCCCGGCCATTTATATACAACGGCCAGACGGGAAGTGGTTAAAAAATCTAATACAAAAGAAGGGATAGAGCCCTGTCAGGTGCTAAGTCCTCATGCACACGGGACATTTTTTCAGCTGCTGTTTTTGGCTTTTGATGTTTTTTTTCTACAGCTAGTAAGCCCCCAGCATGTTGCCCTATGTGTCCTATTTGTAATCAGTGTTTTGTGGCAGGTACATTTTTTGGCTGGAAAAAAACCCAGAACTAGTGGGTTTCTAGAGGAGTTTTTTAGTTTGGTCAAAAAAACACTAAAAAACACAAACGTGGGAAAACACCGCAAAACATAAACGCTACTGCAATTGCTAATGCAAAAACGCTAAAAAAAGCTGAAAAACTCATGGTTTTTTTTTGTATAATTTGTCTTTATTAAAGATTTTTTCATAAAAAAAGGTAAAGCAATAGTAAAGGCAAAGACTTAAAGAGACATAGAGAAAAGGTATCAATTTAAGGAAGCAGGGCCCACAACAGACCCTGCATACAATAATATAATACAGATATCAATCAAACATATAGTACAATACAGATGCCATGCCACATACCCCCCCACCGGCTGTCAGAGCAGCGTGAAGCAGCACAAAACTTATCGCCAAGAAAACCGTCCGTCACACAGGAGCTACGTCTCTGCACGAGGCCAGCCAATCTCAAGGAGAAGATCAGACATGCCCCCGTGTCATTCCATGCTGTAAACTCAAACAATAGAAGTGACATTATATAGTACAAAGGGCATTTGCAGAAAACTCAGTACTCATATGCAAGAAAGCACGAACCCAGAAAAACAAGACAGGGAGGAGAGAGAGAAGGGAGAGATACAAAAAGAAGATAAGATAGCCGAGGCTACATAGCACCAGTAGAATAAGAATAGCAACACAGAATTGAGGGCTCAATGCTCGGGGAAATACAGGAGCGGAACAAAGCAGGAGACAGAACTCAAAAGAAACCCACCACATGGTATGCCAGTGATAGAATTTCTGGGTCCCAGGTAAACAGAGTGGAACCAGCTGGGAGGGGGGTCTGGAAGTCAAGGCGGGGGACCCAAGGGGAGGATCCAGAATCATAGGGAGCCCGTATCCGGAGTTCCATAGAGTAGTACAATTACCCAGCCCAAATGTCATGACATTTCTCAAGATTGTTTTTGACACTATGGATCTAGTGTTCTGCCTAATAGATCCTATCAGCCTCTTGCTTCCACTCCGGTAGGGCACCGACTCTGCTTCCAAAGGCTTGGTATTAGGCTCTTAGCTGCATTCAAAAGATGCGGGGTAACACTACGTTTATAGATTTACCATGAAACCAGAGGGGTGAAATCAATAGGCTGAAGGGCTGTTCTCTGAATCCAAGGAGAAATATTCCTCCAAAACTTTTGAAACTTGGGGCAATGCCACCAAATATGCAGGAAGGCACCTTCCTGAGGGCACCCCCGCCAACATCTATTATCAGTCCCAGGGAAAATCTTAGCTAGCCGGGAAGGCGTCTTGTACCACCTAGATAAAAACCTATAGCGTGAATCTTGCATTTTGGAACTGATGGACAAGGCATGAGTCATCTGAATAATTTTCCTCAATTGCGGGGGTTTCCAGATCGAAACCTAATTCAGCCTCCCATTCCTGTATGTAATAGGGTGTCATCTGAGAAAAAGTGTACAGTAAACCTCTGTACATCTGGGATAGCAAGTGTCTAGTGTCCCCCAACTCCACACATAATGTCTCAAAGAAAGTCAATGAGTCCTGGGCTCGCACCTTGGATAGCAACCTCTGAAAGAAATCATGAATCTGACGGTAATGCCAAAAATCCATAGGGAACGACCCAAAGACCTGCATAGGCCATCCAGGGGCAGCAGATGCCAGGACGGGGCCAGGGTCTGACATCTGACAATCCCCTCTTCTCCACCCCATATGTTAAAGAAGGATGCATCTTCACCAGGAAAAAACCAAGGGAAACCTCCCAGCGGTGTGAGGGGCAAAGTCGGAGGGGAGAGGCCACACAACCTATTAACATGATCCCAAACCCTCAGCGTGTTAAGCGTAACTGGGCTAATCCAGCTGGATAGTCCTCGATGCGCATGTGCGACCGTAGGGGCTATAGCCAAATTTCGACCGGCTATACTTTTTTGCAAATGTGTGCAACACACAGTGGAGGACGCAGACTCAATTTTGTTAAGAGTATTAATTTCTCCCTTATTCTCCTTCCCCCTCCCTTCCTGAGAGGCCCAGCGACATGTAGCCAGTATGTGTGTGAGTTAGGAATGTCACAGGAGGGTCATAGGAGCTGTAAAAGCCCCAAGAGAGTTGGAGTCTCTCTGAACCTGCCAATTGTAACACCTCCTAAGAGATAAGGCAAGCTTTCTCAGGCATTTAAAGAGATTCTAACCTCATAACACCTAACTCTGTGTAGGGGACAGAATCAGATAACTTCTGGTAAATCCATTTTTCCCCTATGTCTCATATCTTGGAATATGAGAGATGTACATAAAAACCGAACACCTCGCCAGATGGCCAATGAGCAGACGAACAATTTGATGGGTCACTCGCCTTGTCTCGGACACTCAGGGAAGAAACATAGATCTTGTGAACCGTGCAGTATATAATTTTATAATTCATATCTAATTAATCCTCAGACTTGTTGGCATAATAATCTACCCGCGGGTGGACTGTCACTTGTGCTGATGAAAAGTTATAGGCAAATATGAGTTATGGGAGATTTTTGCTCTAGTTGAGACATCCACCCATATTTCCATGCCCTAAGTGGAGATTGGCCCTTGACTGCAGAGCCACTCCCCTGCTGGGGACTTTAAAACAGGCTGTCAGACCTAAGAGGAAATAAGTTGAAGAAGTCTCCCATTTTAACATCAATACCACCTGGAGAGACCCGTGCCCTTTTGCTCTGAAACTTGGATCTGCTAACCCAGGACTTTGGCAAGTACCTTAACCCTTTCACCTCTCTCTGATATCTCTTTGCTGTGCTATGGTTCTTTGTATATTTATATATATATCTTAGTTACATATTTGTTCTGTAAATATTTGTATTGCTCCTGTTTGACCTTTTAGTAATAAATCTTTCTTTCTGAAAGTGTTGAACTGTTTCTATAGCTCTGTATTGCAACTCACGAATTCCTGCCTCTAAAGAGACCCTACTGTGGTTGTTTAAACCTCTGTATAACTGGCCTGCGGACCATTTTATATAGACGATTATCTCAATCATTATAGTGTTATAGCTGATAACACCGAGTTTCCTCTTTCTCTGTACAAAAAGGAGGTGGCGGCAGTGTGAAGGGTTAATTGCGTAATTAACCTGACCCAGTAAACAATCGCTTAGGCTACCTGTACATCGATCTGTATCCATTAGCTGGAAAATCGTTGTGCAGGGTGCAGCTGGGTGTTGCATTGTTACGCACGTAACACAGCGGTTTTAGATCGGCTAGCCCTTCGGTCATGAGTTTGTGTGAGAAGGTCTGGGGTCTGACGCCGCGATTGTGACAATACTCTTTTCCAAAGGGACACATACTTTTCCACGTTATGATGTGTCCAATTTAAGATACAAAACTAGGGCCATAGCTTTATAGTAAAGGGATACATCTGGAACTCCCAAGCCCCCATCCTCCTTACTAATAGTGAAAAAAAAAAAAACAGAGGGCACTCCGGCCTTGTGCATTACCTTTAAAAGTATGTTTATTGAATATAAAAAAGTATTCTACTCACAATAGTAAATATAAGGCACATCATCGATGGACCGCTCTGTCTAATTTGCACTGCGTTTCTGTATTATAATGAGAATGATGGACATCCAAAAGGCTGACGCATTTCGAGGACTAGCCTCTTCCTCAGAGTCTCTGAGGAAGAGGCTAGTCCTCAAAATGCGTTAGCCTTTTGGATGTCCATCATTCTCATTATAAGACAGAAACACCGTGTGAATTGGACAGAGCGGTCCCTTCATGATGTGCCTTATTTTTATTTACTATTGTGAGTAGAATACTTTTTTATATTCAATAAACATACTTTTAAAGGTAATGCACAAGGCCGGTGCGCCCTCTGTTTTTTTTTTCTCTATTAGTACTTTTGGACTCCCTGGTTCTTTGAGGGCGGCAAGGAGTGAATATTTCAAGATTTTCGCTGTGTGGTCTTTATGACATAGAGCCCATACCTAAGCACAGGAGTATCTGGGTTTTTCCACTTCCATCCTCCTTACGCCTGCGGAGGAGTGAAAACGCCAATCGAGGTCTCCTCCCTTGCCAAATAAAAGTCGCGATCAACCGGTGTAAAAGACTAAAGAATATCGGTGGGAGATGGATCGGGATCAACGAAAATAGATACAAAATTTTAGGTAGGATCGTCATTTTAAGAGTATTAATTTGGCCTAGCCATGTGAAGGCTATATCATGTCAGACGCCCAGATCCCTCTCCACCCCCTGTAATAGCATCCCGTAATTTTCTGAATATAACAATTTAGGGTCTGGAGAGATCTGGGTACCCAGGTAAGTCAAAATGTGGGGCCGCCATACAAATTGGAAATCGGTCTTTAATAAATTTGCAAGGTCCGGTGGGATTGTAACTGGAAGAATCTCAGATTTCCCGTAGTTAATACTGAAATTTGACAGGGAGCCATACCTGTGAAATTCAGCACTGGTAGGGTCGTGAGGGGGTGAGTAATGTAAAACAAAATATCATCGACGCAAGCCGAGAGTTTATGTACCCCACAGCCAATGGACACCCCTTTAATATCGTCATTGCCCCAAATTTTCCGCAGGAGTGGTTCTAATACCAAAGCGAACAGGAGAGGGGACAGAGGGCAGCCCTGTCTAGTACCGTTAGGACTGCACAGCAGTTCGGAGAACTTCCCATTGACCTTACCTCTACCCGTAGGTTCAGCATATACAGCCATAATGCAACCCATCATCTTCTCTCCCAACCCCAGTGCCAACAAGGTGTCCTCCATGAAGTGCCAATCCACTTTATCAAACACCTTCTTGGCGTCCGTTGACAGAGCCAAAAAGGGGAACAATGTGGACCA